GTGTGTGTCTCTCTCTCTGTGTGTGTCTCTCTCTCTGTGTGTGTCTCTCTCTCTGTGTGTGTCTCTCTCTCTCTCTGTGTGTCTCTCTCTCTCTCTCTGTGTGTGTCTCTTTCTCTCTCTCTCTCTCTCTGTGTCACTCTCTCTCACTCTATCTCTCCCTCTGTGTGTCTCTCTCTCTCTCTGTGTGTGTGTGTGTGTGTTTCTCTCTCTCTCTCTGTGTCTCTCTCAGATTCCGTGCCCCTGTTCCCCCACAGGTGCTGCCAGACCCTGCCAAGTTTCTCCAGCATTTTCTGTTTCTGCTTGAGGTGTGAAGAGAGTTATTTGATGAAAGGATCCCTCTTAAGATCGCAGAGTGGGCAGGAGGGGCACACCTGATGGTGGGGGTACATTTAAAATCAGGGGGAGATGGGCAAGAAACCAGCATTCGAGGAGTGCAGGGATGAGGCTGGAGGAGATTACGGAGATGGGAAGGGGCAGAGGCCGTTGGAAAGATTCGAAAGCCAGAAATCTCTCACTTCAAGTCTCAGCCAGGCTTGGTCTGGGAGAGAGGGGGTGATGGGTGAATGGGAACTGGTGTGAGTTGGCAGAATCCTGACCCTGTCTGAGGTCGGAGACTGAGCAGAGTTTTGGAACGTGTTAAATGTAGATGGCGTTGATTAAAAATGTGCAGTTTTTTCGTGAGCTGTGATTTCTTTCAATGTGAAAGTGTCAGCTCGGGAGCTGCAGTGTTTAATTTAAAAATAAAACTCACAGGCAGTTCAATCCAGATTTTGGAAGCATTCTAGGTCAAACGAGTGGCGTTGCTATGCAACACTTGACTGCTGTACTTGAGGGTAAGTTTATTGTGGAAGGAGGCGTAAGAGGACATTGTGCTGTTGGTTTCTGCACACTCCACACTCAATGGAAGACAGAGAGAACAGAAAAACCTTGTTTCCTTTTTTGGTAAATCAGGGTTTTTTTTTTTCTGTTTCTTTTTAATTCTGAAATGAAAGGTGCCTGTACAGTCTCAGTGAACATATTCCAATTCCTCCAACCCACCCCTGCAATATCACAGAATTCCCCAGCATCATGTTGCTGTACAGTTGTACATTTCAGAATCAGATTGGAGGGATAAGCGAGCGTGGCGCGTTTTTATTGGATCTGTTGCTTATTCCACATCCGGAGTCTGGAACGCAGTCCCGGACTGACCCAGATTCTGTGTGTATTTATTCCCAGGACATAGCCGGAGCAGCATTTATTGTCCCTGTCCCTCTTCGCTACCCCTCGAGAACTTAGTGAGCTGTCTCATTGAGCCATTGCAGTCTGCATGGCACAAGGGAGGTGCTGGCCTAGTGATATTATCGCTAGACTCTTAGGGATCCTGGTCTTGTTCCAGGGATCTGGGTTTAAATCCCACCACAGCAGATGGTAGAATTTGAATTCGATGAAAGTCTAGAATTAAGAGTCTAATGATGATCACAAAACCATTATTGATTGATTATCACATCTAAAAAAAACATCAAAATACTGTGTTTCCCTGTCAGAGGCAAGGTTTCCAGTATGAAACAGGAGGGCATGCTGGCTCAGTGGTTAGCACTGCTCCCTCACAGCACCAGGGACCCAGGTTTGATCCCAGCCTCGGGCGACTGTCTGTGTGGAGTTTGCACATTCTCCCCGTGTCTGCATGGGTTTCCTCCGGGTGCTCCGGTTTCCTCCCACAGTCCAAAGATGTGCAGGCTAGGTGGATTGGCCATGCTAAATTGCCCATAGTGTTCAGGAATGTTTAGGTTAGGTGTGTTAGACATGGGAAATGCAGGGTTAGGGGAATGGGTCTGGGTGGGATGCTCTTTGGAAGGACAGTTTGGGCCAAATGGCCTGTTTCCACACTGTACAGATTCTGTGATCTGAGTTCAGTAATGTCCAGTTAGGGGTAGGTATCATACTGTGAATACATTCTTAAAGGGAGGCACTTTCAGGACTTTAACCCTGTGATACTGAAGGGTTGGGGGTTAGTGGGGGAGGTCAGGCTGGTGTGTGCCTCGGAGGGGGTGGGACGGGGTCTGAGGCAAAGCGAGATGTTGCTCGGTGAGTGTGGAGTGTTGAGAATTGCTCACTGGTGCCAGTAGTTGTGACATTTTGCTGGTGAGTGATGGGATGGAGGACCACGTGCGGGCACAGCTACCCCTTCCCATCTCCACTGCGTGCTCCTCGCTGACACGGTCTCTCACTCTCGCTCCCTGAGCCATATGCTGGCTGTTGTCCCAGTGGCTCCGAGCAGACGTGTTTTCAAACCCCTCGCATGCTTGACTGCTTTTAGGAATTGCCATGCTCCAACAATCCACTTTTATCTGTGTGTGTTTTTTTTTATTGAAAAGTGAAGGATTAAATTCAAACATTTTAAAGGTGAATATTTCCTGGTGCATGGGATCCTACTGGGTACCAGTTGTAAAGATGCAGACTCAGGTCTGTCGATCCGAGTACTGCCTCCTACAGATGTGCAGCAATACTGCAGTTAGTTCAGGTCCAACCTACTCAACTTCTGCTCATTAGGCGGTCCCTGCTTTCAGCCAAGTGAACTTTCTTTGCACAGCCTCCAATACCTGTCCAAGTTTCCATAGATAAGGGGCCCAAAACTGCTCACATTATTCTAGTTATGCTCTGACTAGTGCCTTGTATAGTTTTAGCAAACTCTCCCCGTTCCATTCTCTTTGAGATAAGGGCCAGCATTCCATTTGCCTTCCCTGTTCCCCACTGACTTCTCTACGCCTGTCTCCCAGAATCCTGCTAACATTTCAGACCCCTTGACCAGATCGCTCTGTCAGTCGTCTGTTTACGAGGTGCCAGACTGTGAGAAGGTAGGAGAGGAAACGTAACTCCCTTACTGTCTGGCGAAGAGTGGAGACGAAGGAGTGGCACTCCATCAGGGATTGGGTGAAAGTGAAATGCAGAGAGAGAGCATTCCGGTGTTTTTTTGAAGTGAGCTTGATCTCTTGGATATTCTCCGTGGTTCACTTAACCTGCAGCGTATTTACTCAAGCTGCTGTCTTGAAACCCCTGGGGAATCTGAATGAGCAGCCCCTCATGTCTGACAGCTCCCTAACATCTTTTCATTTACATTTTGGCACGGCGTCTGGGAGGCATCGCTGGACTGGGAGCTGAGATGAGGATTCCTGTCCTGCCATTTAGCTAAAGCACTGCCTGGACTCCCACAATGACAACAGCTCACGGGGAGACCGTTCAGCCCGTTCGAGCCTGTACTGGCTCTTTGAATAAGATGCTCCATTTAGCTCCCCTGCCCTCGGAGCCCCACACATTATTCCTTTCCTGGATGTTTCTCCGGTTGAAAGCTCCTGCTTCCATCTCCCTGTGCTCTCCCCAGTCTCAACAACTTGTAGTGTCAAAATATCCTCCTCATCTTCTGCACCCCTCCCAGACACAGCGGCGATCTCCTGGGAGGGAAATGGCAAAGGCTTGTGCTTTTTTTTTGGTGAATTAGATTTCAGTGGGGTCCCCTTGATGACCCCACGCACCACCCCAAGTCAGGCCACTCGGGTGGGTTTGCTCGTTGGGTTACTGAGGACTTGGGTGAAGTATGGCCCCCCTTTTTTTTTTTTTTTTTTTTTTGCGGATTCTGTTTTTCAGAAGAGAGCCTCGCAGTCTCCCCAGTGATGAGGAAGAGGCGGGGGAAGCTCGTGAAGACCTCAGGGCTTGGCAGCACCAACAGTGGGCAAAACAGAGAGCTCATCGGCACTTCCAGGTGACTGAGACCCTGCCAGGAGGTGCCCAGGAGGAGGAAGAGGTTGGCGAAACTCCTGAGGAGTCCATGCCCGAATCAAGTGCCAGCAAACCGACCGCCGGGAGCACTGGGGAGAGCGAGGAAGAGGCCATGGAGCTAGACGTGGTGAGCTGTGGCCAAGGGGTGGCCGGGGGCTGGAGGGAGACCCCCTCAGGTGGGACAGCGGAGGTCCGAGAGACACCCCCGGGCAATCTGGGGAGTGGGCAGGCCGCGCCGGGCGAGGGGCGAGATGAGGCGGAGGGCACCGTCTGGCTCACCCATGCCGCCACTCAGACAGGTGGCAGTGAGCCCACCCCAGGAGAGAGCTGCAAGCAGCCGTGCCGAGATGCTGTGGTGCAGACGGAGGGCTCGGCGGAGAAACCGCAGATGAGATCGAAGAGCACGTCCTTCCACACCAACCCAGGAGCAGAGGATCACGACACGGACTCCTTCCACAGTCAGGTACCGCACGCCACTGCCCCTTGCCCCAGGCCCCCCCCCCCCCACCCCCACCAATCCTCTTCCTCCCTGCCCCTCCCGCTCCTCAGCATCTCCCCTCACTTCTACCCCAACCTCCACAACCCCCCTCGTCCACCACACGTCCTTCCCTGGCCCTCCCCCACTT